TAACGATGGTTATAGATTACTTCACATCAAAATTTAAGCGAAAATAAATTTAAGTTATATATGATTTTATCCACTTTTGATTCTCATTACCGAAGGTGGATGCTTTAATCTGGCAAATATACAATCAAATCGAACAACGAAGAGGTGAACACTGATATTGTGTAGTACTGTTCTAAAAGTACTAAATGTCCAATTAACAAAAGCCGTTCGGTAACGTTACTTTTAGTACAGTGCCGAGTAACATTACTTTTTAGTACATCGTATGTGTACTACCCAAGACTGTACTGCGCCCTAGGCGGTCGCCCAACTGCGCTGTAATTGGGACTAGAAGACGCATAAATGTGTCTTAGAGAATCTAACGTAGACAAACATCGATTTCGCAACAGTCATCGGTCAGTTAAGCGATTATTCTAGCCTTTCGTCAGGTCATCTAGCCGCGAAATGGTAAAGTTGCGTTAATATCGCTTGCTGATGTTACGAAGATGAATTGTTGCGCAGAACTGTTTACATTAGGACATCGACAATATTTGAAATCGATATTAGAAAAAATCGATTTCTTTGAAGACTTTCGTGTACTTTTATATTGGATTCATGCAGAATTCTTTGCATTAAAAACTCGTAAACTAAATGTAAAATGTAATTAAAAAGATTGTCTGTAAGTAAAGTACATTTCAAAATGAATCAAATGAAATTGCATCAGATTATATTTAAATATATCAATTTCCTTCTTTTTATTAACTTGCTTTAATAATATGATTGCGACTCGAAGGTAAAATAAACCAGTTTGTTATTTATGTTGGTATTCAGTAATAGAAATGTACAAATGATATTACCAAGGTATTCAATATCATTAATGCTGGGTGCGGCTTGAAACAAAAATGTCAAGAATCTATTGAGTTTTCACTGCTGAAACATTTGTACAAAAACATTCTGTCGTCCCTCTCATTGTCCTTGGAAAAATAGAAACAACAATATTTTTACAATAGTTACTGGAGGTGATTCTGCAGCGTGTGTTCTGTTCACATACACCGGAGAGTAGAGCAGATTATTAACGCAAATAAAATTGAGCTTTATACAATTGATACAAGGTTTAATTTTGCTATACAAGTCTTTTACGCTTGCTCTTAAGAAAAGATCAATGTGATTTGCGACTAGCTATTGCTCGCGACTCCGCCTGCGTGATTAAAAAAACAATTAAACTAGTAGCCTATGTTACTCATTGATAACCTAGTTTTTTAATGGTAAAAGAATTTTTGAAATCTGTCCAGTAGTTTTTGAGTTATTTCAATACATACAGTAATCCAAAAAAACATTTTTCCTCTTTAGAATATTGATGTAGATAAAAACCAGATCTGAACGGAACCTAATTACTCTCCATTAAAAATTTGGTTTATCAAATGTTGCTTTTACATCAAGAATTTAATATTATCATTTTAATAAAGATTTTTAAATCCAAAGGCAATACTTTCGCTTGTATTGGAAACGCAGTGATGGTATTCCATAACAATTAAAAATAACGACCTCGCTGCCATCTACTGTCTCTTTTTTTAAACAGTTTGAAATACTAACAATGGCGGTCTATTGTCGCAACAGTTTGTAAATTAAACGTTTACCAAAAGAGTTTCTTAGATAAAAAGGTGACTGAATTTTCTAAAACCTTGACTTGTTTCATCACGCGGCGAGGTCCGCGTCGTAGGGCGTGTGTACACCGCCGGACTTCGTGATTTGAGTTACAACTTTGAATAATCATGCACAAAAGTGCTTAACAAATAAAAATAAATTTTACAATATTCGACAACAATTGCAACTATAGGATACACATAATTTTGTTTCTAACTTGAATACTGTGAAAAAGACGTCCGACGACAATTGTTTGTTTTTATATATTAACAAGCGTCTACGTGATATCACCAACATTAATTTGACTTTTCCTAACAGTAAAATAGTATAAAATAGGCAAAAGTTGATATCAGAAGTAGTGACTACAAAAAATTTAATATAAAAAGTTTTAACTTTTCTATCGGACTGTACGTAGTGATGTGAACGGCTGCATAGGTCGTTAGCATGCGGTCCGCGCGGTTCGTGTAGTAATATTGACACTAGTGATGGGACAATCGTAACCGTTGTCCTATTACATATTATGTGATTAGCCAAATAAGAAATGATTTATATAATCTGTGCGTACTACGAGTGTATAACGTCACGAAAATTCAAGGTTCTAATTTCATATTTATGTTTTTAACCTATTTATAATACTAATTTTATAAAGAAGAAAGATTTGTATTGGATTTTTGTATGTATTTGATTCACGTAAAAACTACTGGCCTGATTATAAAAATTCTTTCACCATTAGTATGGTAGTTTAACAGTGAGTAACAGGCTGTTTTTTTTATTATTTTTTAGTTTGACTCGGACGAAGTCGTGAGCAACAGCTAATGATAAAAATAAAAATTATTTTAATTTCTGCAGTCGTCAAAAACATCAGTAATAAATATGTGTTTGTAGCATTTATTGATTTATTTTCTAGGAAGACCAATAGTTATTTATTACAAAGTATGTACAGTGGTATACATTTCATTAACATGAAGCAAAGCAACTTTTATTATTAGAGATGAATGCACCTCTCTATTTATGCATTAATCTGTGCGCAAGCGCATTCTATCACGATCTTCACCGACGATCCACGATGCAGCAATCCCAACTGAAATGTCAATAGCTTACTTTCCATTGCTCGTTATGTTTGAAAAGCGTACATTTTAGTCGATAATAAAGTGTAATGTAGCGTGAACTTTGATTTTATATCGTTCAGATTTGATACGGTGCTATTAAAATGTTTCACGAAATGGCGATGAGACACGAATACTTGTTATGACTTTTAAATTACTTTTTATAACTTTATTGTACCTATGAAGTATATGAATTTACTTTTCGCCCGCGACCCCACCCGCATGGAATAAAAAAAACAACAACGTAACGAGAGATGTAAATGTGAAATAAAAGTAATTGATAAAATTACATACTTTTTAAAACTTTTTTTTTACAAAATAATCTAAGTCTTGAAATAATATTGAATATTGGAAGTTCTAAGCTTTGATAACATCTTATTGGAAGGTTCTTTTTTAATGTATGCTTTGTAGAGATTTACCGTTAGCTGTTAATTTAACAAAGCCATATGCGAGTTAACATCTCAAAGTAGGTCAATGAGCATACTGTGACTAATTCTGCTCTACTTGTGTACTAAGGTCATGGCGCATTCACATACATTATGTATTTGGTCTCCAGCAATCTCTTAATAACTTGGAATGATTGTCGATCTTTACTTTTTAACTAGCTTTATCATGCGACTCCATCCGCGTGGAATTAAAAAACAAAATTAAGTAAAATCTATAATTAGTATGCCAAGTGTTCTTTCAGACTTTTGCATGAAATGCAAAATTTCGAAATAAGTTTTGTCAACTAGTTATTTTAGATTTTAGCTTTAAAATCTTCGAATAGTCTTTACTTTAATTAACGAGCAAATTCAGCATTCCACCAAAAAGACAAATCTAAAAGTTCTCTACCAAATTACTTTTTTCATATCTAAAATAAGAAGTTTTCTACTAAAGCAACTAAACAAAATTACCACTTCCTATAACTTGCAAAGAAAATACCACATTACATTAATAACAAAGACCAAAGGTCAATCCAAACTTATTAGGATCCGAAGCCGCGTTGATTACATATATTTGGGTCACTGGTTGTTCATAACAAAAGTACTAAGTGACGCTTGGCGTGCTAGATGGCGACACTCGAGACGCATTTGGCGCTTGTAAGAACATGTACTATCAAGGAATTTGACAGTGTACCATAATAAAAGCTACAGTAATTTTAACGTTTTGTACATATTGAAATGACGCGGAACAATATAGGATACAGTTTTTAAATGTATTTATAACCTACGGTTATTTGTGAGATGTAGAGTTTGTCTCAATGAAGCGATTATATTAAAACTGGACCACCGCGAATAGCCTTGACTGTACCTAATTATGTCAAAATACGAGTATACCTAATGATATGTCAACAAAAGTACAATATATATATTTTATGAACTGTGTTTGATTAATGTTAATAATAATGTCATATAAATGACAATACTTAATTTACTTACTATTTTTCTTTCGGGAATCCAAATGTGAACTAAAATTTACTGCATTTCCTGGAAATGAAATACATAAGATAATGAGTTTTCAAGACTGAGACCATTTAAATAAATACTTTTCTTATTAAATAAATCAGAAATGTTAATTTATACTAGTCTAGTCTATATTAATATAATAAAGAGGAATGATTTGTAGTTTTGTATGTATTGAAACAACTCAATTACTGGGCCGATTTCAAAAATTATTTTACCATTAAAAAGCTACGTTATTAGTGAGTAACATAGACTAAATTTTTAATTCCACGTGAAGTCACGAGTCACGAGCAACAACTAGTAATCTGTAAAGCTCAAATCTAACGGTCATTTATTATCTATATCTACCCTCTACGGATATAGCGTGAAGTTTTATATATGAGCAGTGTGGGAAACAGCACAACTAGCAGAAATGCCCTCCGACACGCTTACAATATTGTTCCACTCAATTACATAATCTGTGATTTTCCCAGACTATCTAGATTCGTGCAATAAACCTTCTATACTGACTATCGTGCTGACCTCTTCATTGCAGATTTGTGCACCTGTATTTTTATTCAGTCGTCTCTCACATTCTCCTTGTAAAAATTGAGACAGCAATAATTTTTTATCCGTGTATCAGTAATAGAAACTCGATAAAAATGCAACAACCTGATAGTTACGTTAAAAATACATCGATGTTAGATTTAATATTTCAATGCCAGTGTAACTGTTTAGAAGCCATCTTAATTATCACTTGCAAACTATAGTAAACTAGACTATATTGCTGTCTAATCAGAAAACTTGTCTATGAACAGTTATCTTAAAAGATATAATTTATTTGTTTCAGGCGCAGCCATGTTAATTAATAAAGTATTGGAGTTTTTATGAAAAAGTTTTACTAAGAACACAATGGAATCACCAGTAAGAATATGCATTGGTATGTAGGAATATTAAAATACATATAATTGCCACTTTCCTACACATATCTAAGATGTACATCCTTATCCTTCCAGGTGCAGCAATAATCGTAAATCTACTTTTAATATGCACATCAGTGAATGGCGGTCCTCTCTCTCAGGAGCCGAGTTCAACGACCCTTAAAGATGAAAAAACAACAAAATACAGTCGAGTAAACAGCACGTGGACGACGAAGAATAAACCCAAAACACCAGACGTAGCACTAAACGAGTTACATCCTAAAGAATCTACATCTGAAGAACATACAGAAAAGAATGCAAAATATAAAGATAGAGGAAGGGTTAAATTCCAAACACATTTAAAATCTACTTCAGAAAGTCCGTTACGAAGAATAAAATCGACAGAACCAACAAAATATTTCTCATCAACAGAAATAATGAAACCAGAAATTGATAATGATATGGTCAAATATAGAATTAACAATTCACCAGACGTGTCAAGTTCTACTGCTTCTAATATAAATTCAGAGGAGATGACAGAGAGCGATGATGTGCAAATTAACGATTCCCAATTAGCTGATGCTGATGAAGATAACATGTTTGATAGGTACACTTCTAGCAAATTCCATGACAGCTTCAATCTACCAGGTTACAACGACGAAGATAATTACAAAGACAAAATGTATAGTGAAACAAAACATGACTTCAGTAACTTTGATAAAATATTAAAACATTTTTCAAAAGACATGTTCGATTCTAATGAAAACGATAACACTCACGGAGACCCATACAATTCGCACAGTTATTTCGACTTCGAAGCTGATCTTACTACACCTAAAAATGATTATTTCGATCAAAAGTATGCGGACATATCGTCTAGTATTATGAATAATCTAGCTTCTGTAAAAACTAAGGCTCCAGAAATGAATAATACGAGTCCTCAAGATATTATAAGAGAGAATATAGGGTTTGAGAAATTAAGTAACGGATCGCCGAACAATAAATCAATGATGATAATCAAAAATACCAAAGAAATTCGTCGCTTAGACAATGAACAGGCCGGGACAGCTAACAGAGAGCTTTCCGACATTCATGGTACAAGTATTTATTACGAAATGTCTGTATTATCAACAGAAACTTACAATATAAACCATTCTGATGATTATGATTGTGATAACGATACGTTGCCTGTAGAAACCACTATGAGTACTTCCTTGCAAGAAGAAGACGAGTCGTTGGCAGCAGCACAGCCTGCTATGGTAACAGCATCCTCTATGCCTGTCACAGTAACGTCAATGCCAGCAATAGTATTACCAAACTTCATTCCGAACTCATTGAATACTATAATACCAATACAAGATTCCAACATTCCAATTTCATCTCAAAACTACGTCAGTAATACCGAAAGACCAGTCAAAGTCAGTCCAAGACATCGTAACTATTCGAAACGCCTTAATTTAACAGGAAACAAAGTATCTCCCAATAGTGTGACACCACAAACAATTCCGACTATGAATTCAGGATGGAGGCCAGTGACTCGTAAATTTTACTATACAACACCAAAAATTAAACCCATTTGGATGGCACCGCGACGAAACATTAGCAAAGTTTATAAACCGTCTTATCCAACCACAATATATGCAGAGCATTTTAATATTAAAGACAAATATTCTACCTCACCACGTCCAATGCCACTGCAGAAAACAATCTTGACGACTTTACCTTCTGATATAGACCCGGTATTACAAAGCGATGTTAGTGGTGTTGAGAAATTTGTACATTCTCAAATAATAACTGACAACACAATACCTACATTGTCGAAAAGAGGTTCTATGAAGTTTACAACGTCTGTACCATTTACTGCAAATAACACTGCAAGTGAAGATCCAAACAATATTAGTGAAACCACTAAAGACGGCGCAAGTAGCCCTATAAGCTTAACAGATTCTTCAAAAGAAATTGGTGCTATAGACGAAAGTAGTACAGCTAGTATTAGTTCTCCAAGTCAAACTCAACCTATCAATAAAATTACTACAGATGCAAATGCATTCAACAAAATTAGTTCTGAAAAATCCGTAACTCAAAGTTTAAGTGGTTCTCTTGATCAAACAAGCACAATAGATGAGACTGAAGAAACAGATTCTATCGATTCTCTGAGTGGAACCACAACTTTAGAAAGTGATAGTACAGAAGAAAAAGAAGAGATAAGCCAGATCAGAACGATAGTGAATACTAGTACAACATCAACTGAATCGTTAGATCAAACTGAACCTATTAAGCATGGTAGTACTAAAGATAGCGGTGAAAACCCATCGAGTAACACTGATGTTGGAGAAGGAAGTTCTGTAAGTCTAACCGAGTCTGTAGGAACTACGTCCATAGAAGATACTGATAATACAAGTCAAACTAGTTCTGAAGGGGTAACTTCAGTAGGGGGGATGAGTATAAATGACCTGGAAATACCGCCGACGATGACAGCATGGGCGCTGGCGAGTTTAAGAACTCCACCAACAATGTCGATCAAAGTACTGAATGGAAGTCAATCGACTCAAAAAACTATAGATGAAAATGAATTGCAAAAAGTCAATGAACTTCTAGGTGAGTAGTCTTAAGGTTTTTATATGAATAATTTTAATCCTTAACAAGTAAAATATTCTAAATTATGAACATTACTACTTTCAGACCAGAAAGAAACAACCACATTCTCGACAACAACATCTACAACACCTATTGTCGCTCTTATTAATGATGTTTCGAAGAATATTACTGAAATCGACCAGAATAAACTACCTTGGAAACCCATAGTAAATATTAACATAAACGATGATAAGGAACCAGTAACAAAATCCGAACGATTACCAGCAGAAAGCAATATATCTGTACAAAGTAGTTTGAAGCCAGAAAATACTACGGAACTTACTCCAACAGAAATGCAGACAATCACAATGACGACCGAAACGATAAAAAATAATGAAGTAAGACCTTCTTGGATCCCTGCAATGGTAAATGAAACGACAGAAACGGACGAAAACGAGGACGAAATTCAACCAGTTGATGTGAAAAAGTCAACTGGTTTCGAATCGATAACGAAACTTCCTTCGGGCGTCACCACGCCCACCGACGAAAACAACGACACAGCAACTGAACAGTCTGAAGTACAGACTACTGATTATGAAATAACGACAATTAGATTTTCATACGTACCTACCGAACAGACAGAGACTGAAGTACCAATTATAAACAAAACCTGGCATAAAATGATACCCACAAGAACGAACAAACCGACAACTCCTATAACTACGTACAGACCAACGTTTTCAACTACAACCGAAGTAACCGAGGAAACCACAACGATTGAAGATACGATGCCACAATTAGAACTGTCATCTAAGATTAATGATATCGTAACGATTCAATCAGATGAAGGTACTGAACAAACAACAACTGAAGAAATCACAACCAATAATCCAACAACAACTTATCCAACGACAACAACTAATCCAACTACAACCATTAATCCTACAACTAATCCAACGACTGACTCAACAACAGAATGCGAAGAGACGACATTAACAACAGCAGCGTCAATCATACGAGTAAAGGAACCTGAAGAAATGCCCCAGATTGCAACAACAACAGAACCTCCGACACAAACGAAGAACGAAAGTTGTTCTGAAGAAAACAGCGACAGCAACGAGGTGATACAAGACACAACTAAATCTCCAACCACAACTGTTATAACCACAACAACAATAACAACAACAACAGAAAGAGAACCTGAAACAACTGTTGTACCATCGACAACTGAGCAAACTACACCCGGGTACTCAGAAACAACAGTCAAACCTAATGAAAATATTCCATTCGATCATAAGGAGGATACGACTACGGACATTCCAGAAATGACTACAAAATCTATAAATGAATTGGAAGATTTGACGAGTTACACTGATGATATGACAACGGAAGCGTCTTCGAGAGTGTACACAAATGAAGAGACGAGTTCTGGCGCCACAATTGCAATAGTTGTCACCACCATCGGTGTCATCGCGTTGATCCTGCTCGTCGGTCTATTGGTAAGTAACCTACATTAAAACCTAAAAAGACTTACATCGCCATGTATTGTCAAATTGCTTACATTTAAATCTAAATTAAAAGACTCACAGTGCCATCTATTGCCGAGTTACTTACATTGAAATCCTAAATCAAAAGACTCACAATGCCATCTATTGTCCAGTTACTTACATTCAAATCTAAATTTAAAGACCCACAGTGCCATCTATTGCCGAGTTGCTTACATTCAAATCTTTAATTAAAAGACTTACAGCGCCATCTATTGTCAAGTTACATACATTAAAAAATCCAAATTAAGGGGTTCGCAATGCCATCTATTGTCGAGTAATTTACATTTAGATTAAAAGACTCACAGCGCCATCTATTGTCGAGTTACTTACATTGTAATCCTAAATTAAAAGACTCACAATGCCATCTATTGCCAAGTAATTAACGTTCAAATCTAAATTAAAAGACCCATAGTGTCATCTATTGACGAGTAGGAGAAATTAACAAAGTTGACTAACAAATTCGTCATAAATGAAATAATTTACTTACAAAATCGTAAATGTAAATATTGAATCATAAAAATATTTTACCTGCAGTCTTGCTGTTTTTCAAGTGCTATACTACGTTTTACATCGTAGTAAAGTCACGAAAGATGAACTGCCAATAATCTAGTAAAAACATAAAAAAAAACACAAACACAAGAAAATCCAACAGTAATAACAAGTTACACAACATCAGAATAAAACGATAATTACAAAAAAATTCATTTTCTCTGTTCTTTCTTCGGTCTACTGGCGGTCTACTTGCGGTCTACTGGTGATTGTTCATACAACATATCCAAAGTAATGAGCATAATATCTATAGACATAACTCACGATAAATTACGTTCACTACTTTGGAGAACGTTGCAGACTTCGCTTCTGAGATGACATTGCCTGGAATTGACAATAGAAATTACTTACTTTGTATACAGATGACATGTATTTAAAAAGTTAAATTAACTATCGGTTATTGGAAAATAATAATTTCATAAGAAAAAAGCAATAATTACCTTTTTCATACTTCACAATAAAAGATATCTTGAAGTCTGGAAATTAAAAAAAATTGTTGAATACTAAATAATTTTTAGGTTAAATCTCTTAAATCTCAAACGAACTTAAATGTTTGTCAATAAAAAATCCCCTTGAAAGCTTCGCTAACCCATTTAAAGACAAGTAACCTACAATCCACGACTTAGCAACTGCAAGTCGGTGTCATTTTTATCGTTTGCATCGAGTATGGTGATAAAAATTCCACAACTTGCAACCCGAATCCGCCATAGGACACTCGCGGTTATCGCTGTTATAAGAACACGACCGGTACACCATTCGTTATTGGTGCAAACTTTTGTTTGTAACTGTATACGTTATAAGGCTACAGGAACAACCGCCATTTGTAACCATTGTTAGGATATATTTAATTGTAAAATATGTCAAAAATGCCGGGTTGCAGAACTTTTCGTTTATTTTTGACCGACTTCCCAAAAGAAGGAGGTACTCTATTTGTCTGTACGTGGAATTACAAAAAAAACAAAAGAGAGTAGCCTATGTTTTCCTTCAGATTATGCTTTACAACTATTCATCCAAACATCGAGATCCGTTCAGCAGTTTAAGCTATAAACTCCAACAAACATCCATCCATCTAAACTTTCGCATTTAGAATATTAGTAAGATTCGTAACAAGATACAAAGGTACGAGTATATGGTAGAATACTCAGTAGTATAATTAGTAAACTGTACTATTACGGAAATTAAACCCGTGAATAGTTAAAAAAGTTTTAAACCGAAAGATTTAAAAATAAGCGCCTAATGGTTTGTGGTACGGACTACCGATTTTGCGGTCGAGGGTTCGAATCCCGCCATTCGACTATTGTCGTGAACCATATCCTAGCATAAGCCTAGAGCTTAGTTGAAATGGTTAAAGGAAATATTAGTAAACTAGTTGTTCCCGTGCGAATTCATCCGCATGAAATTATGAAAATTTTATTTTATTGTTTACATGTGTCAAATTATCAATTTCAAATTTCAAAATGACATGACGACCTTGCTTCCTGGATGTTGGCAGCAACTTATGGTCTCTTTCACACCTTAGGGTTTTTATGCAAAATATTTACCCCTAAGTTTTATGGCATGAAAATATATAGCCTAAAGCGTGAGATAAATGTAGGGCTTTTTATTAAAAAAAAAGTGTTTCCAAAAATATGCTCTAATTGTTGGGATTTTAGACAACAAAGAAGTGTGTGCTTACGCTTTACTATAATAGTATAGATTAATAAAAAATCAACTAATATCAAAAAAAAAACGGTAGGCACTCTCCTCATATCGTAATTTATTAAATTCTCCAATTGTACTCTATTTTACAAAAAATCATCGCAATTACAAACAATTGAGTTCAATTAAAACTCCGTTACATTAATAATTCCAATGGGAATCCCAGAATTTGAGATTATGCCTTTATACCATGAACCTTTACCAAAAGTAAAATGAAAATACCGATATTTTGTTATAAGAAATTTTAAACCACACACAATTTAGTAAAAAAATTAGTAAAAAAGTAAAAAAACCACAACAAAACAAGAGAATATCTTGTTTATAACTTTCAATTGACACTAGTAAGAATAAAATAAAATATAAAAACAATAAAAAAATATGTTAATAAAAAAAACTTACCGATATTATCTTCAAACTTCAGGTATTTAACACAATTAAAATAATGGATGTTATTTAAATTAAATTAAAATCATTAAGTTGAAAAAAATACTACAAAAATTAATTAATTATTATAGTTGAGAAGTGATGTCCGTTCCGTAGTACTGGTGGCGCAGGAGTGAGAGCTTGGGGTGCGTGCGTCGGCGCAGCCTGGAAAAGCGCATTTATAATGTATAGCTCCACGAAAGTTACGAATATTTTACCGACAATTTTTCAGTGACTAGTATAAGAATTTGAATGTAACTAAGTATATGCACTAGTTACATATTTTTCTATTAAAAAATAAACTTGGTGTTCTTTTCCATATTAACTTAAACAGTGACAAGTCTAAATTTAGACAGTTACCATAATTTTCTTAAAAAATATACAAAGCTTACCTAATTTTTGTGCTATTAAAAAATATATATATAACCGTGTTCGGAACTTTCGTTTCGTACCCGAACAGTGCATCCAACTATCCCAGTGCGGCCCCGCTAGATGTCGCCGTATCGCTTGGAGGATGTTTTTAAAACGCGAATTATAAACAAAGCTCAGCCGATGACGGACCTCAAGTGATTTCCACTTTTCGAGTGTTGACGACACATTTTACTAATAAATTTATAAAAGAATTTTTAGTTTATCGATTGGTTCGTATTTCCCAAATTGCATTGCATTATCTTTTTGATTTTAAATTCATCTACTTTTGCCAGCCACGATAAGCTATTAACAAGTAACCAATGGTGGTTTTAATATTTTTTTACAAACTCCATAATTTTAGAAAACTTTTGAAGTATACATTTTATGGTAAAAATATGTTTAAATAGCCTAGATATTTTACAATACAAAGCAGAAACTTCTACACTTTAAAGCAAATGTTTCGACACAATGTTACCATGGGCAAGCGTACTATAGTTTGTCGTAAATTAATGTTTCAAGTGGAGATTGCAACGGTCGAAATGCCGTTGTATTTTCTCACCACGTCTGTGGAGGCCCTTAGAATATGTTAAGCTGTTGACAGACTTTAAGATTAAATGATCTTTAGTTTTTTTAACTAAAAAGTGTGAGTTTTAAAGTACTTTAAGGACTCTAAAACATGCCTAATTAATATCAAATCTAGCGATCTATTAAGCTTTGTTACAGCTGATGTGTGCGCTTACATTTTTTCAGTTGTAATCCAGCACTGGTACTATTACTGGACTGGAATAATGTACTGGACATTATCATAGTTTGAAGACTTTACATTCCGGTGGAGCATTATGTAATGAAAATAATAGAATTTTTGCATTGTCTTAATTCTAAATAATATTGTAAATGCGAAAATTCATATCTCCTCAGTATCCTAAACGCTTTACTGGATTTTTAATTTCGTACTGATGTCGCGATGAAAATTCTAACGTTTATTAAGATAATTTATTGAGTTGTTTTTTTTATACCGGATATGTATGTTTAAAGGCAGTGTTAGTTTAACGGTTATTTTTCATAAATAGAATGGCATCCTACCTTTGAATACGTGGTAAAGATAAGCTGCCAGTGTTTTGTTACTACTTCTTGCTAATACAATTGAACTGCATGCGTCGACTAATTCGGACCTCAGGCGATTTTGATAACTACGATATAGGTGTCGCCACCGGAAACCGTTAGTACATGATGCCTAGTTAAGTCTTACTTAGTGTAGTTTTAGTAAACTACAAGACCTCATTTTTAACCTGTCGCTTAATTTTTAGATAGATGTCTCTTTGTTGAAGGATTTCGAAATAAAACTAATTTATAAATTTGTTTGACATCTAAATGGTGATGTTAATAAAATGCTTACTAAGGGCCATCTATATACTGCTAAAGGGCTCGCTAAAGTTAAAGAATAGCTGGTCACATGGCCATTAATGTTATAGATTTTCAACCGACATTTTCTTTGTTGATTTGTCAATCTTACAGAACCATATAACATTTTTCCTTGCAGCTGGTAGTCCGTCGTCGTGGTAGACGTGGTGTGTACGCGCAGCGCTGCACCCCAGTCTCTTTAGACGCATACAGTCTCGACAGTGTGAGTGTCGGACACAGGAAGGGTAACCACCGGCTGTGCAGCAAGCGGAGCTATGGTAACCCTGCATACGATGATGAGGTAAGGAAAGTCTTGGTGTTCATGGAGGTGTTGAAGTCACAAACAAATGAATAACCGTGATTGAAAGGACTTTTTCTTAGAAAAAGGTACAGTCGCGGAATTTCGCGGTGTTTTATTAACAGAAAAAATGATTTTTTTTCTGGCAACGAGGTAAATTCCGCCTTTTCTTACAAATAATTACAGTATAATAATAAAAAAAAAACTTTTTTCATGCGTCACTTTCTTCAATTAAAATGTTATTTCATGTATTGTTGATGAATAAAATAGTTATAAATCGAGTAATGATGTCAGTTTATAGTTATATCAACTTTATTTTTTTT